AAGGGGAGGGGAGGAAGGGAAGAGGGAGAGAAGGGGGAGGGGAGGAGGAGTGGAAGAAGGAGGGGGGAGGGGAAGAGGGGGAGGAGGAGGAGGGGCAGAAGGGACGAGGTGGGGAGGGAGGAGGCGAAATATTTTTAAGGCGCCCAGAGAAGCAGCCCGGTGTCCGCATGGGTGACGGGAGCCCCAGAAGGCAGTTGTCCGGGTGCTTCGCCCGAGGCCCTGCACTCTGGGAACGCCAAGAGGGCCCTGGCGGGAACGGGCTCTGAGTTAGCCAGCGCGTCTGCTCCCAGGGAAGCGGCAGGACCTGGGGCCCGTCCGGGGGAGTCCTGGCTCCGCTCTGCTCCCGTGCTTGTGTTTCCTGTCGGGCAGCAACGCTCAGGGGAGGCTTTTCGGTTTGGGACAGCGGGCGGATGATTTCTACCTGCCAGGACAAAACGCCCCCGTGGGGAGGACACGCCCCTGCTCTGCCCCTTTCCCTCCAGGCCAGGCTCGTCTCTGCTGGACGCACATTCCTAGGCAGGCAACCTGAGCAGGCTCCACCTCTCCACGGTCTCCACGTCTTCTACAGATTTGTATTACTTTATTGTCTGAAAAAAAATAGAAGTGACGAAGTGCCTTGACTCGGTCAGCGGGGCTCACTGATGTGAGGCCATCAAGCTGCAGGTTCCCCGGAGCTCAATTCGTCCTCACGGAGCGGTCTCCGGAGCTCGCTGCTACGACAGGACGGGCGCGTCCGACACCCGCAGGTTTTCACAGCCCAGAACGAGGGGCGGGAACCGCAAGCTGAGCTCCCAGCTAAACGCAGGCACGAGATCCAGGCTGAGCTTCTCCCGGGTCCAGACTGGTTCTTCCACGAGGATGAGTTTCCCCGTCACTAACGGGGCAAAGTTAGAAAGTGCACAGGGAGATACGGGGCCCGCCAGGCACCCAACACCGCCCCCACCCCCACCCTCACTGGCGGAACCAGCTCCAGCTCGTCTGGGGCAAGGACCACACAGGGAATCCAGCATTTACACACTGCGGTGAACACCCGCTGTGCCCAGTGCTCCCCTGGGAGCTGATGGTGCCGCAGCTCCAAAGAGGTCGTATGTGCTCAAAAATGTGCTCCTTAACCCTGGGAGCAGAGACCCCTTCATAATCGGAAAGAAGTTTTGGATTCCGGCATCAGACCACGTACTTAAGCACGCACACATCACTGCACCCGTGCGTTCTCTCAGCAACCCCCCAAGGCCCATCTCCAGCTGCTGTGGCCCCCTCCCCCGCCCCGCCCCGCCCCACCCCTGCCCACCCCCTCCCCATCTCTCACCCCCTCATCTCCGAAGTCCCTTCTTCCACCCCCTCCTTCTGTCCCCAACCCCCCGCCC